AGCCAGCGCGGCGTAATTACCACAGAAAATTGTGGATACTGTTTTTGATTTTTACTTTGTTTTTTAAATATTTTATGCGAATGTTTCACTTTAGGTCCCTAAAATTAAGAAATATCTTATAAAATAAAGTAGATATTCTGAATTTTTAGACAACAACAAAAAGGTTGAAGTGGGGAAAAATATTTTTTTTCGTAAATTTTTCGTATTATTTCCTCCAATTGCTTTGTGATATAGTTTTTAAACTCTGATTTGAGTTTCTTTAATTTCTTTATCTGCTATAAAATTTACCTATATGTTTTTAACATATGCAATTACACGTCTTCTTATATTTCGTACAGTATAACAATTATAATGATCTGTATAATTTTGAATAGTAAACTGGGGGGTGAATAGTTCTGACTGAAAACGAAATCCATTAGCAAACAACGGGGATATCAATGTTAGTCGGGAACTATTGTGATTGGAACTATTCTTCTGGAGGAACTAGAACTAAGGAACTAGTTCCTCCCAAGGAACTAGAATTCCCACCTCTAATCGAGATCTACCACCCCTTAAAATACTTGCACTTATTTCTGGGATACCCTGTTTATAACAATACACGTGATGCGTATACTCAAAGTTACGCACACTAAGTGTGCGAACACAGTGCAAGCAGGTTTGCCGCTTACCGGTAGTCGGCGTCAATCTGGGTACCTATTCTTGACATCGTTCGCAACTTTGCGTATACGCATCACGTGTATTGTTATAAACAGGGTATCCCAGAAATAAGTGCAAGTATTTTAAAGGGTGGTAGATCTCGATAAAAGAAACATATTTTCTCTTTATCGTTTTTCAAATAAGTCCAAAATAATGGAGATATTTTACTTTGAAAATTTCCAAAAAAAATAATTTTTTGCTAAAATTTTGAGAACCTTCTTCTTCATGTGCCTTCTCCTCATCGGAGGTTGGCGACCATCAATTGGATTTCCTCCCTGTCTTGAGCCAAACGGATAATTGCACTGGCCTCTCCTATATTAAACCACTGGCGCAAATTCCGCAACCAGGAAAACCGTTTACGCCCGATGCCTCGTCGTCCTTCAATCTTTCCCTCAACGATCAGCTGTAGGAAACTATATTTGTTATTTCGAAAAATATGACCAAAATATGCTGCTTTCCGTCGTTTTATTGTAGTCAATAGTTCTTGGTCCTTACACATTCTTTCCAATACTTCGAGATTTGTTTGAGAACCACTGGATCTTTTCTGGATTTTCTGTCTTATAAATTTAATCTACTACTTATGTTGCCATATGATCAAGAAATTATTTTTTTTAAATAAAAACTAAAAAAAATTGCAAAAAAATTCCAAAAATATTTTCAAAAAATTCCGAATTTTCAAAAAAAAAATATTTAGAAAAAAACCTCATAGGCGTGTTTCTGGGGTTGAACTATACTACCAGTTAAGTTAAAATACTTGCACGTATTTCTGAGACACCCTGTATATGGGTACATAGTAGAGCCGCGCCGCCTCGCGCTTATAACCTTGAAAAATTAAAGCGTGTTATCAAATCGGCTAGTTCACAGTGAAAGCAGGTAGGCGCCGTCAACCAGCGTTCATCGGCGTTCTCGCTTTTACCGGAACGAAAATTTATTTATTTCTGCTTTTGCACGCGCCGACGGCGCACATAGGGGTATTAAGAACTAAAAGTTGGCCAAAATTATGTTTTATGATTTTTGTGCTTTTTTGCTAGTAGTATTAATTATTAGAGGAGAGGGTGCTAATATGGAACCCCATTTTGTTTTTCTTACATAATATTTTTTCCTCTACTCTGAAACTGGCGAAAAAAGGCATGCCTCAGTTTTGTTCCAGCGTTCATTTTCCTATAATGCGGTCCGAGTTTACAATGATATTTCCAACGATATCGGACACCCTTCTTGCATTCAGTCTTTTAAAAAGAGAGTGAAGGACTATGTGATGGGAGATCGTGTGTTGAAAGACTAATATTTAAACTTATGTTCAATTTTTTTTCTCACTTCTTTCATATTACCTTATTTTTTATATATATTTTGTAATTAATTATTGAATAATGTAGGTCTTTAATCATATTTCTGTTATAACTTGATTATTCATTTTACTACTCTTTTCTTACATATTTATTTTTGGATGGTTGCGTGGAAGAGCACAAATGTGAACGTCGCCATCGTTATTATTTTAATTTGTATACAATTGTTTATATACCTAATAAAGACATTTTGAATTGAATTGAATTGAAAGTCTTTCCACCGATCAAATAGGGCCATTCTGTGCAAAACCAAGCAATTGGATGAGAATGCTAGAACAAGAAAGTAATTTGTATATTATAGACGATATTTGAGCGAGGATGGGTGTTATAGGGTAAAGACTATTTCGTTTAAGAATCTATTTAAATCAATGTTTTTTTTGGCAGTGGCAAATATTGGCAAGAGTTTTGTACATATTTCAAAGCTGGAGACTTTGAGCACTGAACGGATACTAATTTCCATGCGGAATATTGCCGAATAGTCTTACACCTTATAAAAATGCCTCTGATTTTTTAAATATAAAACATTATAAAGAAATAGAATAGAAGGAAACGTTTCAAAATAAAAATATGGCATAAAACAGGACTTGCCAGCTGGCTCTGTATCCATCATGACAGTTATTATAAACAATTTGCAAAAAAGCACTACAAACAATTCCACTATTTTATAATCTTAAAAATTTTCAGAATACACTCAAGATAATTCATACTTATAATTGAAATATATTATTTATTTGATAGTCAACTTACGACTTAAAAAAAGCTAATAAACGCGCTTACATTTAGTATTTATAGATTTGTATTCAGTTAAGATAAAAGATGAAAATAAAAATATTTCTCTTTTGACCAGGTTTATAGACCAAATACCCCTATGTGCGTTGCCGGCGCGGCAGGAGCGGCGTTTGGATATGGTTAGGTTAGGTTATGTTAGTTAATCAGGTAAATTTCCTCTTAATTAACTACTTCCGAACCCTGCTCGCATCTCCGAAAAAGCCATATAACAATACACGGCATATACGCAAAGTTACGCATTACGTGTATTGTTGTATGGCTTTTTCGGAGATGCGAGATGTGAGCGATATGTGGTCAAGAATAGGTCCCCAGAGACGGCGCTGGTTGCCGGAAAGCAGAAACCTGCCTCCACTATGTTCGTACCCTTAGAAAACAAAATAATTTTGACCGTTGGAGTGCCTTTGTTCGGCGATTTCTACATCACCTACTATCAGAGTCGATGTACGACGTACGGCAGTCTTCTGTCTCTGTCCCAACTCATTGTGTGGTAGCGACGCGACGTAAGTCGAAGTTGTATCGTATTAAGGCGGGGCTTAGGCGAAATCTCCGGTCGCCTTCGCATGAAGTCGTGGAGGCTCGGTAGGCTTAGTAGAAGTTAAGAGGATATTCCCGATATTTCATAAGGAGATATATCACATTTCGTTAAGGGGATATTTTATATGATTCATTATAAGTAGCATTTAAAACTTTTATATGAAAATTCAAAAAACGTTTAAAGCAAATTGGAAACATTTTTCGGGCTTGTACGAGATTATTCAAAATGATATAACCGGTTGTATTTCAGTATTTCAGTAACACGCCACAGAAATAAAAGAATCCGAAATAAAAAATCGCGTTATTTTATTCGGTGCAAGAAGACGATACAACAGATATTACAGAAAAGTCTCAGTGTGCTATTTCAATTCGATATGTTAATAAAAGCGGCTAAGTCAAATATCTTTGCGAATTTTATTTTATGAAATATTAGATAACATTGTTATATATTTAGGAATACGGTTTGCAGATAGGTTGTATGTTGTATCGTATGTCTCAATTATTTTTATTTATCTTTTGCGGATCCAAAATTTAAAGAATCCTATAAAAAAAATTCCAACGCGTTTAACATCTGATTTAACAAACTTGTTATATTGATACATTTTCAACGCATTTAATAGTGATTTAACAAACAAAAAAAGTTATTGACCAACATAAATTAATGAATAAATTGTAAGTATCAATAATAGATATGATAATTTCGATTATAAAATAATTTAAGGAGAATAATCCTGGAAATATATTTCCAGAGGCTTCCAAATTGTTTCTTTTGTTTGTTACTACACCATTTACAAGTACTTGAGTTGAGAGACATTTTTCATGTTTGAAATGCATTAAAGTTTATAGTAGAGATTCCATGAAAAATAAACCTTTATCGTCACTTGCCTTACTTTCAAACTAAAAAGATCTTTTCACAGCTCTTCAACAATCTGATGATTTTACTGATATAATAATAAATAACTTTTCTTTATTAAGAGACCGACTCATCAATTTAATATATAAAACATAATTATTCTTTCTCTCAATACTACCAATTTTTAAGTTTGCGTAAATAAATAAAAATAAAATAAAATTCTATGATGTACTCCATAGTGACTCCATAGTAATAGATAAAAAAAACATATACTTGTACATTATGTCAATCATTATGTCATTACGTTGAATGCTGTTATTTTTGCTTTAGTTTTGTCCTAAATATTCTTGAGCTATGTTTTTAGCCCAGAGATAACATATATTTACAAACTGGGTTAGGGTATTATGTAAATTAGGGGGAGGGCAATAGACGCAACTAAAATTTTGTCGTCTACCCAGTCACAAGGGTCACGAGCCGCGACTAGTAGGTACAAGTTAACATATCAAAAAACAGATCATTAAGCTAAGTAATTTTGACACATTTTAGTTCATCCAAGACCAAGCACCTACTTGGGCTTCAGATGAATGAAAATATGTCAAAATTACATTGGAGTGATTGTTTGTTTTTAATCAGAATCTGCCTCTTCTAATAAGTGCAATATCTTTATTTCTAATATAGACCTTTTTCTAAATGGCAGTCTAGAGAGCCCTTCTTCTACTCTCAATAGAAATCCCTGCAGACCTGAAGGCCGGATTCTCGGTGGATGGGGCTTTTAAAGAGGGTCTTCACACGTTTGTTTTCTCTTTTTTCCTAAAATATGAAAGTTTTCTAATAAACTGATAATACATAGGTACAGTGGCGGAATCACGGAGAGGGCTTCGGGGGGCTCAAGCCCCCCCCCCCTTAATTTCAGTCGTGTAATACGATATTATGAATTCATTATGTCAGAAATAACTCTGGAGCAAAGTGTGGAGTATGTATTTTGAGTAAAGTTTTGTGTCTGGCGCCCTCCCTTTCCCGAAACCTGGATCCGCCCCTGCATAGGTACATGCTAAAATATCATATACTGTATAATAAAATTCCACTATGGTGAGCACATATTTTAATCTACAGCTTTAGACTTTTCACTTTCTTGTTGAAAAATTGCCATAATTTTTGGCTTGGTAATAATCGATGACATTATCCATATAATTTTATATATAAAATAACAGGGACCTTCATTTCAATTTTTGTCGCTGGCGCCTTCTTTTTCAATCATATTGCATAATTTATGCCAAACTGATTATGTAAGCTACTATGTAATTTACATGCTTTATATTTTGATAAATCTTATTTACATATACAGAGACATCTTACATCTTAGTGCATTTACATCAGGGTGTTTTAAAAAACATGTGCCATAGATTTATTTTTCATATCAACATAGGTCCTATTCTGCTTTGCTTCGTAGCTACAGGGTGTTAAAGTCTTAATAATTTTTTGATTTATTATAATTTTCTTCCAAGCACTTTTAGTGATTCGAAATTTTGAGAGTAAAAGTTACTATGTTACTAGGTATAAGTGCTACATATTTTGATGCTATAAAAGTGTCGATAAATTCATCAATCATCAATTTTTGTCGCTGGCGCCTTCTTTTTCAATCATATTGCATAATTTATGTCAAAATGATTATGTAAGCGACTATGTAATTTACATGCTTTATATTTTGATAAATGATGACAAATGTTACACATCTAGGTACTTTATCTTATAGATAATATTTAGAATAATATTTGGAAAATATCAAATAGTATATTATAGCTTCATTCAACTGTATTATTATTATTATTAAATAAAAATTATATTATTATTATTAAAATTTTATTAGACTTGGATCAAGGCAAATTAATAAAATTGCATTTATCTCATCAAGGAGGCCGAAATCAACAAAATATCAAGAGACAACTTTTAATCGGCATTAAACTGCTTACACAATATTGCCAACAAGAGAAAAAAAGTCAATGGCATACATGCTTTTTTAGAAAAATATTCCAGTGATAACCCATATGCACGTCCCTGGTGAATATGTCGAGACTTTTTTAGCTTTAAAATATGTCGCATTTATAGCAACTTTTACCCTCAAAATTTCATTTGAAACAATAAAAGTACTTGGAAGAAAATTATAATAAATCAAAAAAATATTAAGACTTTAACACCTTGTAGCTACGAAACAAAGCAGAATCGGACCTATGTTGATATGAAAAATAAATCAAACAAACAAACAAACAACGCTTTATTGTACAAAAAGCCAAAACAGCTTCATCGACAAAGCACTCACAAACAACAAAATCACAAAAAAAATACACAATACAAATAATACAATTCAAAAAAATTTAAGTCTTTAAAATTACAAAAAGAATATACATGGACAATTTTAGAACAGTACGCAGTAAATAGATATAATTTTAGAGCTAGAGTTATAAAATATTAAATACTTGACCTTTGACCAATGTGTGAGATGATCAAAATTTTAAAATTCAAAATTGTTCATAATTAAATATCAACAAAAAAGTCGTTTACCGCATATAGGGCTCTCTCCAGTAAGTATGATTTTAGAGCTTTGCGAAATGCGGGAAAGAATGAAAGCGACTTGATATTCAAAGGCAGATGATTGTACATTTTTTTAGCATTGTACAGTATGGAACCCTTAACTAGTTCTGAGCTCGGGGTTGGCAGATAAAGATCGTGCTCTGCATTCCTAAGTAGATAGTTATGAGATGGCCATCAATCTTATTTTTAAGTGAGGGATCTCTCCATGAGAGATGGCAATGGAGAGATGGCACATGTTTTTTGAAACACCCTGTATACAGAGACACCTTAGCGCATGATAGATACCGTATGATCGAAAAAAAACGGCGTCCAGTTGGCTGGGAAATGACTATCGATGACATTTCCCATATAAATTTACGTGTAAAATGACAGCGATCTTTATTTCATAGCCAACGCTGACGCCGTTTTTTCTCGATCATACGGTATATATGAAAACTGGGATACAATATACATACTATTCATATTTTGAGATGTAGACGGAGAGGAAGAGACCGATATATCTGATTCATGCTGATTGGGAGACTCATGCTGATTGGGAGACTCATGCTGATTGGGAGACTCATGCTGATTGGAAGACTCATGCTGATTCGGAGATTCGCTAGTGCCACTAGATGCAGTACTGCTAGAAGAAGGCCGGTTTGATATGGATGATACCATTCTAAAAAAATAAAAATTTTCTTGACACCATTTTTTTCCTTAATTACTCTTACCTCTTAGGAGTTGAACTTTCTTACCTCTTAGGAGTTGAACATGTTAGATCTTCTAAAAACGACATTAGTCTATAGAACCGAAAAGGGGGCTCCATATCTGTCTCAGCAGCAGAACCGCTCGGTTTATATATTGTCATTCTTTTATGGCATCTGGTGTAACTATCTCTTAGATATTTCCATCTGGCTTTAGCCTCTTCATCTGTTAAGTGCCTCCCCATGCAGTTTGAAATTTCTCTCCATAAATTGTTTTTTTTTGGCTTGGATTCTCTCCTTCAATGGGACTCTATAATCATAGAGGGCTCTCCTCTCTTGAACTAAATATATTAAAGTTTCGTCCAAATTGTCGTAATCCAAGCCCTGAAATGTTCTCCGCGGAAACGTTGGCTCTGTATCGTTTGACACTAAAATAATAAGTATACATTATTATTCCCTTATTATTATAACATAAGCATAAAGCATGCAAAATCGTTTTCACACACACACACACACATTATGGGTTTAAAAAATCAAACTCTATAATGAATTAATATAGTGCTTAGGTAAATTATTTGAGGTGAACTTTTTTTTACCTGAAATTTCTTATAAAAAAACAACAAAACACGCAGTATATAGAAGCCTCCTCAAACATAAAATCATACAAATTTCTCTGCGGAAATGCTTCATTTTCTTTTTTCCAACTTTAAAATGAAGTCAGTTATATGAAAACATGTTCCTGTTTTACATTGCATTCTAAACACTTTTCTAAACATAAACACAGAAAACAAATTTCTGTGGAAATATTTCATGTTCATTAAATAGTGTTTTTAGAATAACTGATATTACATGAAAACATGTTCCTGTTTTACATTCTAAAATCTCATGTAGATATGAACTTAACCTAGTAGATACTGTTAGACATCAATATCATACCGAGAAATAACAAAAATAAACAAAAACGAACCAACAAACCAAACCAAAGCAATCTGAACACGCTGTAAGCTAAAACGCGCCTGTTTATGAATTCCAATTACCGAGTGCTTTTCAACCTTCCTATATTTTATCAATAAATGAAAATTGTACATTTCCACAAGAATTTTTTTTTTCGTGTCTGTTTAGAAAAATTTCTAGAATGAAAAACAGAAACGTGTTTCATGTAACTGGTACACTGAAAATTATGCATTTCCTTAGAAAAAATTTAGTGACTTTCTAATTGAAAAGGCTTCCAAATACTAAATAAACAAATATTTTTTACATAACTGAATTCAGCTAAACAAAAGTTGAGGTATTATTTGATAAATGAATGATTCCAAAAAGGCAGAAGTTCAAGCAGAGTTTACAACTGGTAAAACACTTGTATGATGAATTATAGAGCCTAAAATGATTGCTGAAATGGTGGGTAAAAGACTAGTAAAAGGGTACTCACCTACAGTCAGCGCATTATTTTCATCTGCAACAATTTGATCTCCTTCTTTAAAATGGGCTAAACAATGGTGATCAGTATACCTTTGGCATGTTCTGGGAAAAACCGAACTACAATATCCGCATTTGTAACGTTCCTTAGGCTGATCCTTGAAATCATCGGGGATTGGATTATATTATTTAATGAAAATATCTTAATATTTAATAAAAAATAATAAAGTTGTGGGAAGTAATATAATAAAGGGTAATTCAAGAATATTTCTTACCATCACAATAATTAATGAAGGATGTGCAGTTCTAGCTGGTTCTTCAATGGGTTCCAGTGTTATTTCGTGGGTGCCGGTTCTAGCCTTGTTCGAAGGCAGAGAATAGGTACATTCGAAGGGTTCTAGTTTTAGGTAGGTAACTAGAAAGGCACAAAGGTAAAAAGATAAAAGATTTGAAGACTTTTATACATTTAAATAGGCAAAAAACGTATGAAAAGGACATCAAAATGATCAAAATCGAAATATACATACCAAATACACGTTAAAAACAAAACACAACAAAAACAACAAAAAAAAAATACCCAAAGCACGCAGTTTGCAAAATATCGTTTGTTGGAAAGAAATGGAGGCGATAATGAAAAAGGACAGAATTATTTTATATATGATATCACAATCCGCCATTACGTCGAAAAATGTTAAGTTAATTTTTGGCGCAATGACCTTGAATACGCAAAATTTTTGACAAATTTTAGCCAATAGAATTACTGGAAATCGATCAAGGTCGTTACGCCGTTACGCCGATACGCCGTTTTCAGGATAGTGTGGCTGCACCCTCAGAGATTTCTTGACAGGGCTCGTTAGAAAATGTGAAGTGCAATTTATTTTTTTTTATTGAAGATATTTTTATTTTTGAATGATAACCTTAAAATGACCCTTATTTGGAATAGAATATAAGGTTGTACTATTGGTACATCTCTAATAAATAAAATAAGCATTGTAAATAAAATAAATCATCTAATTTTTATAATCCTTTTAGAGAGTAAAATAATTTCTAACGATATTTTTTTTTAATAAACTGATAGTAAAAATAAAATTATAAATTGTTTAAAATTTTGTAAATTAATTATATACTAATCAAAACTATATATTTTTCTAAGCGGTCTTTTAATATTACTTAGGTGTACTTTATCGTGAGACTCTGTTGTCGCGGTTTTACGTTTCGTGTTCAGAGATACGATTTGAGTTGGTCTTGCAAATTTTCTCGCGTTCTTTTGTCGTTTCTTGACTCGAACTTCTTGACCTACCTCAAATAAATCTGGGTTGTCACGGTCTTTACTATTTATTTTCCCAATAACTTTTTCTTTTTGCTTAATTAAATTTTCATTGATTTGTGAATGCAGCAATTTTCGATTTTTCTTTACGTTCATTTACAGAATTGTTTAAAAGTAATTGATCAATTTTAATGCCGAATGAATCATTAGAAGTTATATGGCCGTTTATATCGATTGGTTTTAATTTTGTGGAAGAATGTAAAGTATGATTGTACGCATAGCATAAACCATTTTTTGTTTAATAGGTGTTTTTAAAAAGCGTTTTGAGTTTAATAATTTTATATGTTTGGACAAAGTTGAATGTAGACGTTCGATAACCCCGTTAGATTGTGGGTGATTTGGCGAACAAAAGTGTATTTTAATTTTATGCAACTGTAATAATTCAGTAACAAAAGTATTCTTAAACTCTGTACCATCATTAATGACAATTTGTTTTGGTACGCATGATGTGAGAAGAAAGATAATAATTTATCGACAATTTCTGTACCCGAAGCTGATTGTATTGCGTACGCTTGTGCGTATTTTGAGAAAATATCTGTTATCGTTAAGAATTTTCCTTGTTCGAGAGTATAATCAAATCAAATCAAATCAAATCTTTTTATTAGGCCCCAATATAAAAAATATATAAAATATAAACCATACTTTGGCTGACTAATAGCCTAATAGCCTAATAAGGAGTGCACCGCGATTACAAAACCGATTCACTGATTGCCAAAGGCATCAGTGTGGCACACTCCCTGTAAAAAATAACTAAACAGAATTTCATTTTCAATACAATAATATACCAACAACAAACAAACCCGTAAGAAAAACAGAGGACCACCGGCAAAGCAAAAAAAAAGAGGCTTTGGCTTTTCAAGAACAAAGCGTCATACACGAGGAATAATTTAGCAATGTTAAAAATACTCATCTACAATTTCAACACATACACAAATATTTTCCAAAATTGTAAAGCTGAGCAGTGAGCCAGTCAAAACCATATCAGATTAAAGGCCCGTTCACCACGGTTTGCCAAAATAACAAAAAGATAAAAAGATAAATTTAGAAATAACTACTAGTATTATATTCGATTGTAAAACCAAGCAAATTATTCTTAACATATTTATTAAAATAATGTGATTTAAAGCATTTAACACTAATTGGAAGAGAATTCCATAATTGCGGCGCAAAAAAAGAAAACGATTTCCGAAAGCCAGCCGTCCTATGTTGAGGTATTCTGAAACGATGTAAGTTTCTTGTTACATGAGTGTGGTCAAAAGGTATAAACAATGGTTTTAAATAAGGCGGTTGGCCAGTTTGTGAGATACGGTAGATAAATGTTAACATATGAAGTTTTCGCCTATTTACCATAGACAGAATATTAAATTAGTATAAGTGTCTAAGTATAATATTTCGAATGGTTGTGTAGGTGTAGGTGTTATTTTCATTATCATTTTTACAGGGTGTTGCTCGTATTTTGTCTTTTGGCATATTTCGGGGGTTTCTTCATCGTAATTATTAAAATTAAAATTTTCAATAGAAACGCGATCAAATTTTTTGGCTTCGATAGGTTCGCAAAAATTTAAAGGAATAGAATCGTCGGTATTATTCAGAATTGTTGTAACAACTTTTTCATTTCGAGCTATAGTTAAAGACTTCGGTATCTCGCAATTACGCAGTTTTTGATAAGGTGCTATGGTCTCACCGCTTTTTATAGTTGTTTTAATTCCAATGATCTGCTCCGCACGTGGCGATACTGTAATACAGTTCAACCTTGTTTGAGTGCGATGATACTGTAATTTTATCTTCGCGTGTGATGTTAACAAGAATCCGTTTTCAAAATCTAAGTTAGCTCGTAAAAGTTTCAAATTATCAAGTCCTAGAAGTCCATCAAACACGTTATGAAATTTGAATAAATATAATTTTAATTTTTGTTTTTGAGATAAGTTGAATATTCTTGAAATAGAAATATTTGCACTATATTGATGTGCTGATTTTTGAAAAACTGTTGACACTATAAAAGGATCTTTAATAATATTTTGTGAATAACATTTTTCTGCAATATGTGGATTTAAAAATGATTTAGTTGAACCTGAATCGATAAGTATTTTTAAATTTTGTTCGGGAAAAATTACAAAGGGTAACTCACTAGGGCTAAACATATTAAAGGAAATAATTTCTGGTGTTATGTATTTTTGGTTGTCGAGGAAATTTTCGTTTTCATGTTCTTGTGAAAAATTGTTTAAATGTTCTGCATAACAAAAATCAGTTTCATACTCGTTTTCGAAGTTATCACTCTGAATTTCAGATTGAGATTTTTGTTCATTTTCCATTTTGATATTATGTAGTTCCTCAAATGCAAATTGAGGTGGACGGAAATTATTAAAATTAGGATTGTTATTCGGCCTAAAGCTATTAGATGTTTGGTTTGTTGAAATGCTCATAGGCGTGGGATGTGAATTATTAAAATTAGGATTGTTATCCGGCCTAAATCTATTAGATGTTTGGTTTGTTGAAATGCTCATAGGCGTGGGACTAGGTTGTGGCAAATTTGGATTCGGTCTAGAAAAATTTGGTTTTCCAAAAACTTGCGAATTTGTGAAAAACTCTTGCGGTTGTTGATTTACATTAGGCCTAATTTGAATAGGCTGTGAGGGAAACACGGGCTTTTGTGCAAAATTATTTTGTGTGTTATTATGAGTATTAGGATTAAATGGATTAAAATTAGGCTGAAAGTTAGGTCTAAAATTATTAGAAAATACGTTATGATTTTCAAAACTATTTGTACTGTTGTTAGATAAATTATTAGACAATTGAGGTTTAGGCATAAATTTTCCTGAATTTTGTAAATAATGAATATTATGTTCTTCACTCACAAACTGTAGGGCTTCCATTAAATTTTGGGGGCGCATACAACGTATTGTTGTACCAAGAGGCTCCCTTAACCCCGATAAAAATGTTTTCAAGGCAAGTTCATTATACAATTTTCTTTTTAAAATTGTAGCTGTTTCTGTTAATTCATGTAAATCAATATGCGAACACAGTAAATTTAGTATATGGAGAACTCTATCGTGAAATGGATTGGGTTTTTCATTAGGATTTTGTCGCAACATAACCAAATCTCTGTTAAGGCATACTTCATCTCTTTGATCGGCAAAATTACGTCGAAGAGTGTTTTTTAACTCGTCCCAAGTTTTAACGTTCTGTATATTAACAATTAATTTTGCATTTCCCGTCAATTTTCCGATCAACGAGTTAAGTAAATAAGTATTTTGAAAATTTCTGTGGTTCAGCAGCAATATAAAAATTATCGATTAGACTCCCTGACAAGTTACTAGGGTATCTATTTAGGATCATTTGGGTTACCGTCAAAGAACGGAACACAGTTTAGATATTCTGTTTTTAAGAGACATTTTACGTTTAAAATTAAATTATTTTCTAAAAAATTTCTTAAATTATTAGGTACACTAGGGTCACTTTGAAGGCGTTAAATTTAAATTTTGTAAATTATTTATAATATTTTCGAGCTCAGACATTAAATTAAAAATTGCACTTACATTAGTATTTTGGCCATTCTTTTCTATAAGAATCAGGTCTCTGGTTAGCGATGCTGTTCTTCCCAAATTACTGGTTCTTGCGAAATTCGACGATACTGTTCAAATTCCTGTAGAGTTGATGTTCTGAAGACCAATCTTCAGGTAGACCAAAATCTTCTTTCTTGAACACTACTCTGTTTTTGGACAGTTTTTGGTTGATCGTTAAACGAAAATTCAAACGTACGATACGCTAGAATCCAAAACATCCTACCGACTGCGCCAGTTAAATAACTAGAACAGCCAAATTCG